ACATTAGGGTGATTGTTATTGTTTATTCGTTAATCTTGAAACAAAATGGTCGGTCACTAGCGGACATTCAACTTTCGTTTGAGACGGTTGGTTACTGGGATTATTCAGACCTGCTTGCCGCCAACCTTACACATAAGTATACGACACGCTCTTGCCGCTTTTGGAGCTTTGCAAGCTGTTAAAACTTGCAAAGCCACCTTGAGAAGAACAGAATACATACCTACCTACTACTCTCTGACTCGCCGAGGTCGAATAGACCAATTGAAAAAAATTTGACCTACTAATAACTTCCCACTATTTCATTTTTCTTCAACAAATACGTGTTGATTGAGAATGGACAAAAATCAAAAACTGATTAAAATATGAGATCATCTTAACAAGTTATACGCGCAATCGTAAATCTTATCTGGTATATCACAGCAAAGTCAAAGAAATTATTACAATCGATTATTTACTTTTACTTATTAGCATAAACAACGATAAATTAATATTATTGTTTTTGCCAAGTTTTATAACCGCTACGAATTATGAATTATTTTTCAATGTATCAGCTAAGCTTCACAATATCTGAAAAAGGCAATGTTCTCGATAGCCATTGTTAAACTCCAGTTCTTAGGAAAAAATACCTGACTACCTTATAGCTTTTAATATCTTCTAGATTAATTTCGGTAGGTAATACACTATTAACAGCATTAGAAAGGTTTTTTTTTGGAAGAAGTGCGCATCATGGTCACGAAGTAGATTCGGTTTTTGAACACGGTTTATTTTCTTTCATAGGTATCAACTTAACACGAAGAAGTTGCTATAACGGCACGACATGGTGAGTCATGTCTATTGAATATTTCTTACAAATAGGTACATAAGTATCCACGCACTCAAAAATTTTCAATAACTATGATGTATTAATAAAAAACGGTTTAATATAAACATTTGAAACTTCCTTGACCATGTACACCTAATTAAACTACTTATTAGCTTTTTATGGCATTTCCTTCCACAAATATAAATTTTTTTTAAAAGAACACAACACGCCGAATAGAATAAAATCTTGATACAAATATATGCTAATTTCGCGTGTGGTACAACCAATATGCTTTCAAATCAAACATTTCACACTGACGGACGGTTCGTACGCAATTCCCTTCTGATAGCATTTTTTATTTTTTATTTGGTACTTTACATAACTCAGACTATAACATAATCTAAGTCATTTAAAGTGGCGATTCAGGCAATAAAACTGCCAACAAGTGGCTTAGGTGGGTTTATATTATTATTTGCCAACAACTGTACCTACAGTCCAAATTTGAAAGAGTCCAATTAGTAATAAAATAATGAACAAAACATTTAAAACATCCTTCATAGGGACGTTATGATATTGGAAGCAGGAATAGGCATTCAACCCATACTTTTTGCCTTTATGTATTTTTTAAAAATTAACATTCAGAAATGTGCCTGCAGTATATATGTAGGTAGATAGCTACATCTAGTCCTAGCAAATACCTACTTATACCGAATTGCTTTTATAAAGAATAAGTTATTAAATAGGTACCTGTACGAATATATAAATATAAAAACATAGAAGTAAATAACCAATTAAAATTTGCAATCAAAACCTTATGTAGGTATTCTTTTGTTTTTTCCAACCATAAGTGTATAATAAAATGCAAAATTTAATAAAGCGATTGCAAAAAGTACTAATTAGTAATGTATATGTATATACATATATTATATGGAATGTTATAATTAAAAATTAGGCATTACAAGAATAAAAAACAATAAGCAATGTAGAAAAAAAGGTTAAAATTAGTTTTTTAAAAGCATGCAGTTACTTTCAAAGTACGGCTAAATTAACAATTGTGCTTAATTATATATTAATAAAATTTGTATGCAGTTTGTATTTACATTGTACTATATATTAATTTTACAATGTACAATCGACCTATGTTGATACCAGTAAGGGTTCCCTCATGTCCATTGCAAAATTTCAGGAAGAAACCAATGTTGAAAATTAATTAAGGATCAAAATTTTTGCAGGTCTCCAAACAATTAACTAAAGCAATGATAAATTAAAAAATTAAATTAAAATATAACGTTATTTTAATGCAAAACTAAAACACGTTAAATAAGACAGGCATTTAGTGTAAAACCTAAAGTAACGGGTCAAACTAAACGGT